ATTTTCTAAAGATTAATTAATTGGTTAAATTTTCCAAGTTTGAAAAATTATGAAATTAAAGAAATTTATGTTACTATAGTAATAATGATTATTTTTATCTATATTATATCAAAAAGTATAATATAATTCTAATAGAATCTATAGATCAAGAAATATATATTATGTCAAGATTTAATAAAAAAAACTTTTTTTTATTAAATAAATATATATTTTGAAAAACTAATAGGCAAATAATTTTAAAGTCAAATTTATATCTATTATAAACTTTAAAAAAAATAAATAATAATATATATAATCAATCTATTTATTATTTATTTATTTAATTTATATTTAAAAAACTGTAATAATTTGTAATTATACTTATTATTATAGTTTCTTTGAATTACACTTCTCTAAAATTTCTATTTTTAGAGTTCTGCATAGATTTTAAATTGATATAATTAAAAAATTAGTAATAATCAATATATTTACTAATTATTACTAATTTAATATCTATTAAATTTACTATTATTATCTATATTTAGCTTTATTTTTTTATTAATTTAGCTATATATATTATATCTAATTTATAATTTTATTAAATTAATAATTTTTTAATTAGTTATTATTAATTTTTTTTCTTTTCTCACTTTAATCATAAAATATCTTTAATATTTTACTAATTTCAATTCTTAATTATTATATATTTAATTTAAAAAATATTTTTTATAATTATTCTTTTAAGATTCTACTTATTCTTAAGTAAATTAAATAAAATATTATATTAAAAATAATTTATAATTAGCATAATAAAAGAAAATATTATATATAGAGAGTCAAGAAGTGACTAAAAAGAATAATTAAGTTTGATAAAAGTAATAAATTACTGAGTTAAGAGTAGTTAATTAGTATTTTCTTTAATAAATATATATATTTTATCTTATATCTTATTTTTATTTTCTTCTTATTTTATTAAGAGAGTATTTTATTTGAAATAAAACTTATATTTATTATTTTATTAAGAAAATAATTAATTATTATAATCTTTTAAAATTATAAAAGTAAATAATTATTATGAACATAATTATTCTTATTATTTTAAAATAATTATATACATATAAACTTAAAATAGTAATAATATGTAATTTTTTTTAAAAGATAATTCTGATTATATTTTATCTTCATATTATTATTATTAATTAACTTTTTCAATTTTGATATTTTTATATAAAGATTTTATTTGATATTTCATGATATTTTTTCTTTTATAACTATTAATATATATTTTTTTATGTAAGAAAACTTATAATTAAATAATTATATATTATATTAATATAAATTATTAAAGATAAATCAAATTTAAGATCTTTATAATATAATAAATAAATACAAATAATATATTTTATTTTAAAAAATTCATTTATAATATTTATTTAAGAAAATATTTTTATTTATAAAGTTTACTAAAATTATTAAAGATACTTCAAACTTATTAAATTAAATAAAAAATTTTATTTTACTAATAATTATTTTTATTTTAGAGAAATATAATAATTTTGATATAAAAATTACTACTTATTATTTAGTAACTAATAGATTTAAATATATATTCATATAAATAAGAAAATAAATTTTCATATTAATTATTAAAAGTATTTAAAATCTAATATAATTATTTACTTATATTCAGATATTTTAACATAATATAATTTTCAGTCAAGAATCTTATTAATTATTATTATTATTTTATATTTAATTATTTTTTATCAAAAAAATTAAGATATTGATTTATTAATTGAAGATATAATTTGAAAATAGAGAAGTTTTATTATTAAATTTTCTTTTAAAGATCTTTAGCTATAATTTTTAGAATATTTTTCTCTTTTTTTTTCTTTTTTTTCTTCTTTTTTTCTATTTTTTTCATTATCATTATCTTCTTTTTTTCTACTAAAATCTTTTTTTTCATTATTATTATCTTCTTTTTTTTTATTAAAATCTTTTCTTTTATTATTATTTTTATTTTCTTTTTTATTAATCTTTTTGAAAAATATTATCAAAATTTATGTTTGTACTATCACTTTTTTTATAAAAATTTATATTATCATCTTATTATTCTCAAATTATTTACATATATTAAAAGTCTCTTATTTTTATTTATTTAGATTTTGCTTGTCTTTATAAGCTTATATCAGATAATTAAATTCTTTTCATATGCATGATTCCATATTTTAATTTCAATAATGCTATTAATAATAATTAATAAAATTCAAATAGCTATATAAATAATGATAAGTTTTAGTTAAAAAAATTTTTTTAAAGAAATATTAAAAATTTGAAATTTTATGATTGATTTTAGCTTGTATATATTATATAAATGCAATAATAAGATGTATTTGAGTTCTTCAAAGATTTTTTGTTACTTAGATGAATAATTTGTCTTTATAAAGTAATTGGTAAAGTGAAAAAGCAATCTTTGCAAAATCTTTGATAAGCTAACAATTATTTACTTATTAAAGATAATTTATAAATATATTCAGATTAAGTTATTCAGAAACAATTATCTAAATTTTCAGATTATTTGTGAAAATTTTTTGAGATATAATTATGCTTCGAGAACGAAATGCTTATAATATCACATATAATTATTATACTAATACAAGAATAAGTTATACAAAATATATTATATAAATACAAAATACTACTATATTATTTTTATTAAATTGCTTTTAAACAAAGATAAATTGAAATGCTACCATCTCGTCCAGGAGGAACATCTTTTAATTGCAGTTTTATTTTATCTGTCTCATTGTTTCCATAATGTTCGAGAAATCGAAGTGATATCTCTGCTTGTCCTAGATATGCTGTAAATACAAGTCGAACGTATTATAAATTTAAACTTATGATTATAAAATACCAACAACAAAAAATCCTACTAACAATCTTGGGTAAATTTATCATGGTTATAGAGAGACAGTTTCAGCGTATCCTCCAATGTCGTAACTGAAAAAAGTAATAGCTAAAAAAAGAAATATGACGATAAATAAAATTTGCAATAAAAAATGGCTTGATATTAATAAAATATCGTTTGAAATAATAAAAACCTGGTTCCATCGCGGGGTTGTGTTCTCTTTGACAATTTTAGTCTTAAAGACTTGTCGATTTAATCGTGCTTGACAATACGTGTTAATTAATACATTTTCTTTTGCTATAAGAATAACAATGTAAATGATTCAATAAACCTCTATAAAATTATTTGGTTAAAAACAACATACATACCAGGATCAATTGGTATTTGGCCCTCGTATATGACCACTTTCAGGGTGCCAATACAGTCTTTGAGGGATGGTAGACCATCTATAGTATTTAATTAATTAACATTTCTGTTCATATATAAAAATTTATATGATTACGTGCTTGCCTTTTTGATTCTTTTTCTCCATTGCTAAACAGTATCCACTGGCTGTTTCAAGCTGATTTACCCATTGCCGCTTTACCGATACATCCCTTGCACGCAAGTTGATTTTATCAGCAATGTGAATAATTTGAAAACAATCATCTATCAAAATATTAACATTATAAACATGTGGACTTTAAAATAGATAAGCTAAATAAAGTTCGTTAATAAACAGAATTTGCCTTGAGGAAGATCACGCACGGCTATCTCGTTTAGAGGAAATGGCTAAGTTTAAATAATAATTTATTAGTAAATAATATGCTAGATACGTAGAGATTAAAACACGATTAATTACCGGTCTATATGGAAAATATTTATAACCTCTAGTAGAATTACGTGATTCTTGGGCGAGAATTAAAAGATCATTGAAAAGATATCCATGTAATTTCCGATTACTTTTCGCTTTCTGCAGCGGGCCTTCCATGACAAATTGTCTTTTACCGAGTAAACGTGTCATGCTAGTCAAATCAAGTTTCTTTCAAACAAAAAGATAAATACATTATTTGTTTTTTACATACATCCAAGATGTGGCCTAATGATCTCTTACCACTTCTAATCCATCTAAGTCAATTAATTTGGAAATTTCAGCCAATTTTACTTGATTCTCTTGCTCACGTGCTGCTTCATTCGTTTCCTCCAAAATATCCTCAGCTTTTTTCAAAGATTGCATAATTTTTTCATGATCGGGATGATCTTTTTCGGTATAATGCAATATCTAAAAAAGACAATAAATTATTTTTATAAAAACTGCAAATGGAAAAATATCAAACCAAAGAATACCTGGCGAAATAAAAGAGGATATCGTGTAATTCGTTGTAATGGTTTCAAAAGATAACTTGATAAGTCTAATGACCTACATTGAGGATCTTGTAGTCTTTTCTAATCGAAAAGAGAAAAAATTTAATGTTGACTTCTAATCTTTATAAAAACTCGAAATCATATATATTGTCGCCTCTGAGAAACTATAAACAGTCATTAACACTATATTACCTTTAGAAACTCTTCGAGTCTTTGATCTTCTGTTCTTTTCTTTTGCAAGAACTTACTTGCATTCAATTGGTTACCACAGTATGTTACATAACATCTCAAACTATCCACATGTTTAATCAATATATCACCCAAACTATCCACATAAAATCCTTCATCACGCTGCCTTTGCTCTAAATCGCTCAGAATCGCGGTGTTACATAGTAAGATATCCTCAATATTTGAGAAAATAGTCATTAATTCTTGTGCATCAAGTATGCTCTGAAGAGGGCCGTAAAAAACTTCAACGATCATTTGAAGATCTCTGAGATAGCTTTGTTCAGTGTTTATCAATTCATAGATTCCTTCCTGTCTTTTACGTTCCTCTTTTGGAAGAGCTTCTACAGTTTCCAAGTCCATCAGGCTTGACCAAGTTTGTGAAGGCGGGCGCTTAAATTAAAAGATAACAAGTAGTTTAGTAACTTAAAATTAAAGAATTCTTAAAAAAGATTTCACATACTTGTCCCGCAGCTGCAGGCGAATCAGGCCTTAATCCAAGGCCATGTGGCAAAAGTCCAGCATCAGATAATGCATTTATAGATAAACGCCTCCCACTAGGCTCTATCCATGGAACAGGGGTAATCGGACTAGTACCAAACAACCGCGTGGGACTTGGGCTTCTAGTTCTAATTTTTGAAGATTTATTAGGAGTTGCTACTCTTGGTGGTGGCAACGGTTTATCATTAGGTGATTGTACAGGTCCAATGTTGAATTTAGGAATTGCAATTTGTTTAACAATATTTTTATTATCATTATCATCAAGAGATTCTTTATTATTATTATTACTAAATGGGTCTTCCTCATTTTCTGAATCATCGCTGGAACTATTTTCTTCCGAAGAGGATGTGTCAGTATCTTCATCTGAGTTGATTTGAATGTTTGTATTGGTGGGATGAAAGAAACAGCAGCCGAATAGATAGATATATAGATATAGAGAGGAAAACGTACATGATTGAAGAGAAGGAAGAAATTTTTTTATTATTTTTAACCGGAATAAATAGTAATAATGACAAAATTTATAAAATTCTAATTATTAAATGAAGTTCTTTTTATATAAATACTCTACGAAAAATTTTTGTGACATAAGATTCAAATCTCTACTTCTGCTGCCGATACTAATGCTATATATAATTATTATATTAAAATCAAACACTAACCGCTACTACTAGAAATCTCTTCGACATAATTGGCAGGAACAACTCCTTTAGTTCCTTCATATTCCGCTTTCCACCAATCACCTAAAGATTTGTCGAGTATAGAAACAATGTTTCCTTGTTTGATATCAAGTTCACCCTCGTTCAAACCTTTATAATCCCATAAAACTTTGGCTTTACATATTTCTTTTTCTAAAATAACGGTGTATATTTTAAGACAACAATAAATAAAAATGAGAATTATCAAAACTTAAGAATATTGAAATAAGCGATTATATTACCTTCTTTAAATAATTGAGCCTTTTCTATTTCTTGACCTAAAATTTGATTAATAATAAGCAAGAGATCTAATCAAAAAGTATTCAAGTTATTTTATGATTACCTTCTTTAACTATCTGCACATAAGTTTTTGGGAACCACCCTTTTTTGCCACTTGATTCTATTGATCCATACCACCAATTTGCATTCTCCGGGTCCTTAGAGGGATGTGCAAAAAAGCTGACTCCAGCTTGAAATGCAAGATCATCAGTGCGCGTTCCTTCATATGGATATAAAGTTAAGACATTGAATTTCTGACTAAAATCGACGTCTTGTTCGATTGAAGGCGTCATTACAGTTGGTGATTGTACAGTCGTGCCAAAAGATTTTGTCTCTTCCTTTTCTTCAAAAAGTGTTGTCTGAATATCGATATTTGGTTTAAATTGGGATGAAGGTTCCTCGACTGCCAATTGATCGGATGCCAAACTACCATACCAATCCGTTGAAATCCTACGATCGAGTTTTTCAAGTGATATCGGTCTGGAAACGGACGCATTGGTAGCACTATCTGCATGTCCTCCATCAGCACGACTCTTAAGTTTTGGTATACCGCCTGAGAACAAGCTGCCAAGTCCAGAAGGGCCAGGTGACCCAGAACTTGAAGATTGTACACCATGTGATGAACTTGAAGGCCCCGCATCATTAACGCGCCCTTTCATAAACGAAAATATAAAGATAAATCATTAACTATTTTAATAATTAATAATTATTGAATTAAATATTACCAGCCACGACTGGAGTAGATCGATCATTTGTTTTAGTTGGCTTCAATTTTTTCCCTAACTGTATTTGATTTAACAAAGCAGCACGTCCAGCTGGAAGATTAGAAGCAGCAGGTGAAGGAGTAACAGCTGAGTTTGGAGTGACCGTAGGTGCCGTTGGTACAAATGAAGGCGGAGGTGGAGGCGGTGCTATTGGAGGCGATGTTGTTGGAATCGCAACAGGCGCGGCTGTAATAGACTCGGTGAAAGGTGGTGGTGGAGGGGGGGGTGGAGGTATACTTGAAGAAGGTGTAGTTTGAGATGAAGGAAAAGGTTCAGAAGCCGAAGATACACTTGGAGGAGCAGTAATTTTTTGTGAGGGAATAGTTTCAGAAGTTGATGAACGTGAACTTCCACCAAATCCTCCAAAAATTTTCGATGCAAGTAGTTTAGGATCTCCTGGGATTCCAAAATCATCATCACTATCACTCTCATCTTTATTTACCACGTCCCAATCATCATTTTCTGGTTCTTTTGCTTGAGGATTCGATGTAGGAAACGCAGCTGCATTTGTAAACCGAAAGAAAGGGTTTGTGCTTTCAATAGGCTTCGTAATAACAGGTTCTTCTGCCTTTGTATTTTGAGCACCAAATTTCAAAAATGGATTCGTGCTAATACTGTCTCTTTTATTACTATTATTGCCGCTATTATCATCAATGCTACTTTCTGGCTTGACTGGAGAGCTGCTGACAATATTTGAAGATTCATTTGTTGATGATTTTACCTGCGGAATGGATTCTTCTTTTTTTGCCTTTGAAAGACGTTCTGCTTCACGTTTTAATAACTCTTCACGTTCTTTTGCTTCCTCTTCTAATTTTTTTGCTCTTTCTCTTGCTGCACGAGCACCTTCCAATATGGCCTCTTGTTCTTTACGTAGGCGTTCTTCTTCTGCTACGCGTTCTTCAGCTTCTCTTTTTATACGAGCAAGATGTTCTTCTCTCTCTCGTTTTTCTTTTTCGACTTCTTCTAGTCGTTTACGTTCATTTTCTAGTTCACGTGAACGTGCAGCTTCTTCTTTTTCTCGAGCTTTTCTATCTTTAGCTTTCTCAAGCTCTTCAGCTTCCGATAACCATTGTTTACGTCGTTCAGCTTCTCTTCTTTCATATTCTTCTAGTCTACGAGCCCTTTCATTCTCTTCTTCAGCTTTCTTCTGTTTGTCAGCTAAAAGTCGTTCCGCTCGCGTGCGTTCACGCTCTTCATTCTCTCGTTCTGCGCGAGCTATTCGTTCGTTGGCTTCTGCCCTTTCACGAGCCAAACGATCCGTGATCGATGGAGATCCAGAAGTTGGAGAAGGTGTTGATTTTGAATCTAGAGTTGATGGCGTTATACCAAATGCTTTTAATTTTTCTTGCATTCTACGTTCTGCTTCTGCTTTAATAAATGCAGCACGTTCTTCGGAAGTTTTTCCTTTCAATGAAGAACTTGGCACCGGACTACTAAATGAAGAATAGTTAGAAGTAGTTGAAGTCGGAGTAGAATGTGTGGATATGATAGAGCTACTTCCACCACCGCCATATGATGAATAACGTGATTCATAATCGGATTCATTATAAGAAGTTCTCGTCTTGATTTTTAAACCTTCACGATTAAGTTCTTCGATAAATCTCCTGACCTCATCATTTATACCAATACCATCCTCCCATTTCTTTCTATCTTCTTTAGAGAAACGGAAACCATCTAATTGAAGTGTAGATTCTACATCATCACGCTCTCTAGAGATACGGATTATAGAATCTTGTAATCTAGATATTGTTTGTTCAATGTCTGAAATGCGATTTTCTTTGTTTGCTTTATCAGCATTTACTTTTATCATTTCTTCATCCAATCTTCGTGCAGCGCCCGGATTAGATGCGCTATCACTAATATTAGATACAGGTTTCCCAGTAATAGCTGCTAGACGTGCTTGCAACATTTCTGCAGCTTTTGCCTGAATTCGATCAGCTTGTGTAATAGAGCCACCAGGACCCGTTCCAACTATGTTTGCAAAACTATTATCATCGCTATTACGTGATTCACGCAATTTAAATAATTCTATTCTGGCTTCCGCTACTTTGTTGTCTGTATCTCGCACTTTGCGTACCATATCTGGGATGATGGTATACAAAAAATTATTAAGTTCATCTTCTAAATCATGATTTCTATCTAATAAAGAGTTCAATTCATCAGAATTTTTGTTAATTTCTTTGGACTGCCAGTTTTGACTATTTGATTTTAAAGAAACTAATTGAGATTGTATATCTTTTATTTGTCTTTTTATTTCCTCAACATCGATCGAATTATAGGATGCTATCGGTGCTGTGTCAGCACTGTATGACAAAGCTTCTAATAAAATTTCTTTCTCGTGAATTTGTTTTCGAAGGTCCGCTAAATTTGTAGAGGACTTTTCGCGATCAGATCTCGATGATGATATAGATGACGAATAAGAAGAGCTCGAGTATTCCCGACTAACCGATGGAATTTGCCTTCTTGCCGATGATACATATCCAACGTCATCATCTTTGTGTTTATAGCTTACAGCATCTGTAGGTATATCTATGGTCTGATTATTCGTGAAGCTTCTTGATTTTACGTAAGGATTGCTGGATAATTGTGGTACTAAGCCGGTTCTTTGATTGTGAAGGTCTGTCGCGAGAATATTCTTTACTAAATCAACACTTTCAGCTAAATCTCGTGAAGAAGGTGGAATCAGCTCAGGTGGAAGAGTCGCCGGCACTTCATACCCATTTAGTTTTCGATATATTAAATGCATGGCCACTGCAAATTCATCTTGGTTAAGTTTTCCCTGATTGTTTGGATCAGCAAGGTTCCTAAAAAGGTAAAATCAAAGTGTTGAATTAATATAATTAATATGCAATTCTAAAAAGATGTTTGAATAAAGTCGTCATTCTGTTTACCAAATTTGCATTAATACATTAGCAGGTAGACCAGATTGAGAAAAAACTTCTCGTCCTTTTTCACCTAAAAGTTTAAACTTTAATATTATTGAAAAGTGTATACTGAAAAAATCTCGTCAATGAAAGCTTAATCAAATATTTTAAGGTAGTTACCTACCAGATATGTATCCATTTCCTTCAGTATCCCAAGCCTTAAAAATATCCCTATATTGCGCTTTTTCTTCGGGAGTAACAGCCCAAGGAATTTTAGCATTTCCCTGTAATCCAGAGGTGTTATACTGCTGCTGGGGATTTTGCTGAGGCATCATTCTTTGACTTAAAGCAAGGACTCCAGCAGGCATAACGGACCCACCGAGGGAAGGGATGTTTTGAACACTAGAAAGTTGACCGATGGTAGGTATTGTAGAGATACCATATTGTTGTTGAATCATTTGAGGTTGCGAGACGGAACTTTGCCCGTGTAATTGCTGAAGAAGAAATTGTTGTTGTCTTTGTTGTTGATCCATTTCTGGTTAATATTATGTAACATCGAACGAAGAGTTTGTCCAAGATTTTTTCAAATACTGAAAATTCATCTCTAAACAAATCGATAAATATATAGAATTTGTCAACTTATGCTGCACAACGTAATACAGTTTGCCAAGTATATCGATATCTTGGAATATATTTCAAAATTTTTAATTGAACGCAGGTAGACATAAGAATATGGAAACGAATCCAAGAGGCATCCCAAAAGTTCAATTCGTGGTATATTTCTCTACTCTCCATTTCTCTCACATGCTAGTTACCTTAGTCATATTATAGTAACTTAACAGGAAAATGTGGACGAATTTGTCGCGAAATCTGATGCACCCGTGGAGATCACACTTGGAAAATTCCAAGAAACTATAGCGTGAGTAACTAACTATACACCTTTAATTTTTCTCATTTTCCAAATGGACAAATAGGTTCAATATATTTGACGTGTATTACAAGTGAAATTAGATCATTATTATATATCGCTGAGCGCCTTTAGTTTTTAAGCTTCAATGTTGAATATTGAGATCTTTTTGTGAGCAAACTAATAAAATTATGAATAATCAATTTATTGATCTTCCGCGTTTTTATAGCAAATATAAATTTATGGAAATCAATTTCATGAATCGAAAAAAAGGTCTCGAGATGAAAATACCAGAAATTAAAAAGACATTGACTGTAGTTGAATATTTGATAAATAAACAGGTGATTATAATTTTATCATGTCTTTACTGTCTTAGATTTATGCAGTTTGTTAATAATATCTCAAAATATAAAGGAATCCGATGAACCTATTGACACAACTTTCGAATTGAATGATACTTTATGGGCAGCCGCAAAAGTTAAAACCACTGAGACAGTTTATTTATGGCTTGGAGTAAGCAATAAACAAAATAATTTTTTCATTATATTTTTTTAAAATTCTTTTATATTTCTCACATGATAGGCGAATGTAATGCTTGAATATCCATTACAAGAGGCAAAAGAGCTTCTCGAAGGTAAGCTTAAATCCGCACAAACGAGTCTAGATAATGTGTTAGAAGATTTGGAATTTCTACGTGATCAAGTAACCACAATGGAAGTCAGTATCTTTTTTCAATTAATTTATAATTTTATTTGCTCGAATATTATTTTGCTTTTAAATTCCTTCTTCATTCAGGGTTTCGCACTAAATATCTCAAAACTGAGATTTTATTGTGCTATTCCTTGTTATCCTTAACTTGATTGTTTTTTCAAAAAGATACTGCACGTTTATACAATTGGGATGTCAAACGACGAAGAACATCCAAAGGTGCTACTGAGATTACTGCATAACATAATGAAAAAATTTTGTTAAAGATTATTTTAATAGAAATCTGGAACACAAATTGATAGGTAACATTGCAAATGTATGTGAAATTACGAAAAAAGAATATAGAAATTTTGTGAAAACTTTTTCATACTCTTTATCCTGTCTTGTTATTTATTTATTATAATTGAGCAAATATTACTGTATTTATTTTTATTATTGTTCATTATACTTGTTAATTTGATATTCTTGTTATTAGAGTTATTATTTCCTGATCTTTCTCATGCAAAATATTCTTTTTATTTATAATTATAGCAGTTTAAATTTATATTGCTACTTTATTAATTTTCTTTTTTAATTATTATTAATTTTTTTTTAAGTTTTATTTTTCTTATTTATTTTTTTTATTTAATATACATTTTTATTATTAATTTTTCAATAATATTTATACTTGTTTCTTTGATTATAATTATTATTTTATTCTTATTGATTTTAATTATTTATTAATTTGATTAATTAATTATAATAGTTTTTTAATTAATTAGTAAGTTTTTTTATTATTCTAAATTGATTATTAAAATATTTAGATGATATAAATAAATTAATAAAAAACTTAATTCTTTTTACTGGAAAATTAACTTTATATTTTTATAAATATTATTATATGACAGAATAAAATCTGAATTAAAATTTAATAAAATTCATTTTGATTAATATTATTATATAAAATTTATAATAATAATTTAAATATATTTTTTATTATTATATTATATAAAACTTGTAATATAGTAAGCACAAAAAGTAATAGTAAATATATTTTTCATCTATAACTTAATAAGAAATTGCTAAAAATTTATAAAAATTTGATATTATATTCTTTAAGATAATAGAAATAAAATTTTTTAAGATCATAATATAATAATATTTTATGAAATCATATACTAAAGATAACAAACTGGAAAATTATTCTGATTAAAGTGTTATAAAAAATTATTTAAAAATATTCTTTATAAACAAGTATAAAAATAATTTTATAAAAAGATATTTAAAGATATAGAAATATATTTGTAATTTAAAAAAATTTTAGTTAATATTTATTAAATAAATATCAGTCAAAAAAAATTTAATTTTATAAAATATAATAAAATATAATAAAAATATTATTTTTATTATAAAATTTATCAAAATTAAGTCTTTTTTAACTGATATTTATTTAATAAATATCAACTAAAAATTTTTTAAATTATAAATATTTTCTATATTTTTAAATTTATTTCTATAAAATTATTTTTATATCTGCTTATAAAAAATATTTTTAAATAATTTTATAATACTTTAACTAAAATAATCTATAATTTATAATCTTTAATATATAAGTTCACAAAATAATATTATGTTAATATGTTTTATAATCATAAAAAATTTTATTTTCATCATTTTAAAGAATATAATATCAAATTTTTGTAAATTTTTAATAATATCTTATTAAGTTATAGATAAAAAATATATTTATTATTACTTTCCATATTAATTATACTAACTTTTATTAAATAAAAATTATTTCATTATATAATTTTTAAAATTATTATAAATTATAAAATAATAATATATATTTTATATAGTATTAATAAATTATATTTTTTTAATATAAATTTATTATAAAGTTTTAAACTTATTATATTATTATTTATTATTCTTAAATTAAAATTCTAATAACTAGATTTAATAAAAAATTAATCTTTTATCTTGAAATAATACATATATATATATATAATATTTAAAATAATATACAAAAAATTAAAATAAAATATAAATAAAATTTATATTATTTTGAAATTTTATAATAATAAAACTTTAATTTTTAGTAATAATAAATATTCAAAAACTTTTATTTAAATTATATAATAAAAAATAAAATTATATATTATTAAATCTTAAATAAAATTTATTTATTAATAAAAATTAATTAAAATAATTATATAAAATTTTATTATTAATAAATAAATAATTATTATATAATAATATAATATTTATAAAAATAAATTTATTTATATAATGGCAATCAAAAATAATGCAACGCTTAAATTTTTTACTAATTATAATTAGTAAAATACATATTTTTTCTT